AGTCCTGGTGCTTGATAGTATCACTGAGCAGATACCTCTGTCACCTACCAAGGATCTCTACCTGCCTTCTGAGGGGAAAACAGATCTCCCTTCCTCGAAGCCCTTGTCAGCCAGCTCTTCTGTCTCCAGCAGCTAAATAAATTCCTAACCCAGAACTTGGTGTGTGGTGCTAAATCAAGAGCTGGACAGCTTCAAATGTACGGTGGGGCTCTGGAGAACAGAGGAGTAAAGGCAGACCTGGGGTAGACCATGTGTCCTGGGGGTGGGGGTGGGGGTGATGATAAGATGAAGCCTGGATTTCGGTGCTTGTCACAAGCACATGTGAATCCTTAATCATCTCACAGAAAGAGTTTGACACAAGTGTGGCGGCTGCATAGAGTAGTTGAGACAGTATAAGTGTAAGACAGTGTAAGACAGTGTAAAGTGGGGAGACCAGCTGTCCAGAGCTAAGGTGGTCTGTGTTCAGGGAGTATCTAGGACATATTTACTGATGAAACATATGTAGTAGGCAAAGAGAAGGAAAAAAGCCTAGAACAATCTCTAGCTGCCCTCTCTGAAGACGCCTGGTACTGAGACAGAATACAGAGGAAGAGGGGTGGGCTTCATGGAGGTAGTGGTGGCGAGAGGGCGGCTGCTAGGAAAAACCCATTTGGGGGCAGCCTACATACACGAAGGCAATGAACTCTCCAGGTAGGGATTCCAAGTGGGTATTTGGAAGGACAGCCATCTAAAAAATGACCTTTATAAAGGTGAAAAATATGTATTATCTGAGGAGAAACCAGAGTATAAGGTGATTTTAGTAAGTTCTGTTCTAGAGACCCCCTACGATAGGTGAAAATCCACAAAGCAGGTAGTGTTCCCTCACTGTATCGCAGCTCACTTATTGCTACTTTGTGGATTCCACCTGTTGCGGGAACGTAACTCCCGCGACAGGTGATGGAGCAATATGCATTTAAAAACCAAAACAAAACTGGAGACAACTGTATTGTACCAACTAACCTTTTTTCCTGATGAAAGTAAAATTATACATAAGATAACAAGTACAACAAATCCCAGAATGAAATCCTGCTGTTTTCCTTACTAGGCTATAAATGTCTGATAAGTTCAACTTCTACGATTGGCATGCTCACTGAAAAAAAAAACTTACTATATTATTTTAATTATGGGATTACATTTTATTGTGATTAAAATAATACAATATGTGGAGTCCTGCCGGTTGTAAATTCAAACCAAAGTGCAAAGAGTTAAAAGTGAAATTTCCTTTCATCCTGTCTCTGATCTTGCTGCCTTATCATTAAGAAACTCTGAGAAGCAAAAATGTTCCCAACCTCTGCATAGCACATTGGAGTGTTTTCTGTACCTACCTTCTCTTCCACAACATGGGAAAATTCAGGTTTGACTGGCAAAGGCCCACCACTGGCTACGCCGGATCTGATTATCAGAAGAAACACTGATCTTGTGCCCCACTTCCCGTCTCCCTGAAGGGCCAGTGTTCACTTTCTAGGGCGGGCCTGACTTTATCCTCATCTGACTGTTGCCCTTGCAGCTAGTATGGGAGCCAGGCATGCTCTTTTTCAAGTCCAAAGCCTTGCCAGTTTCATCAGACACTGGTAGTTGGTGTCTTAGCCAGGGCATTCCACAGCATGAGGGCTGAAGGGGGGAAACTTCACTCCAGCTGTGGGCCCACAGGGAGACACTGTCTAATCCAGCCTAGTATCTGAGAGCCTGGATAAATGTTTGTCCAGATGTGTTCAGTGGCACGAGGGAAAACATAGGAAAGAGATTCAAAAGCTGGCAGGTACAAAGAAAAGTGTCCACTGCAAATTACATTTGAGGAGCCTTCAGGAGGGCACTGTAGTATGGGAACAGCCCCCCAATAGACTTCCTTTCCGAAGTGGGAGAGATCGTTATTGATGCAGCAGTGGACTTCCCTGTAGGGTCCATGTGGCACAGACCTAGCCCTCACATCTTTTGACCTGGTATTGCACTCAGTGTGGAGATGCACAGCTCTAAGGGGACCCTAGGAGCTGTGACTGGCAGATGTGCAGCAAGCTCCTGAACTTCCTCAGGTACATTCCAAGGTGTTGGGGGGCGGGGAGGAGCACCTGCACATGCTTCCTGCACTTACTACTCTCTCCCTTTTTTTTTGTTTTTGGCCTTACAGTTTTCATGTAATAGAAGCATGCACACAATACGAATCCTCTGCACTGTCTTTTCCATTTGGCTCATAATAATCCTGGGCATTTGTTCTACACTCAAAAGGAGGAGGTGGATGAGAGGCTCTTGAACTCCTTCTTAATTTGAGATCTCCTTTTCTGGATCTTTCTCTCTGCATTTATATGTATACAAAAATGATTTTTTTCACATAAATGAAAGCAAATAATACATACCATTTAGCTACCTACTTTCAATGCCTAGGAACGTTTTTAATAATACCCCCCGCCGCACCTTCTTCCCTCCAAGTATCAGTAGTTACAGACAGACCACAGTCTTTTAAACTATTCCACAGTTTATGGAATTCAACGTTACTTGTTGAATTTGACGCTATCCAGAAAATGGATATTTCACACTATCTGTAAGCATTGGTTATTTGGGGGCATTTTTTTAGATGTGTCTAGTTTTTGCTATTATGAAAATGACTACAGTAAACGTCCTATGCAGACACATCTTTACCTATTTGTGCAAATATCTGTAGAAGTGGATAGATATAAAATTGCTACTCTACCAAGAAAGCATATTTGAAATTTTAATAAGTACTGCTTGAATTGTCCTCTAAAAATGGTTAATAATTTTCATTCCCAACATCACAGTATATCATCAACTTTGATAATACATATCAACCTAGTAGCCAAAAAAAGGGACATACTACTTTATCGTATCTTTGAAACTAGAGAAATTGAACATCCGCTCCAATAATATTGTCAATTTCTTCTTTATTTCCTTTGGGAAATTTTTTGTTCATAGTTAAATTTTTTCCAGTGGGTAGTTTGGCTCTTTCTTATAGGTCTTTAGTAATCTTTTTATGATGGGTATTTCTTCTAGTCTGACATCTTTGTGTGTGTGTGTGTGTGTGTGTGTGTGTGTGTGTGTGTGTGCACACTGCTCCTGGGGCTTGAACTCAGGGTCTGGGTGCTGTCCCTGAGCTTTTTTGCTCAAGTCTAGTTTTCTACCACTCGAACTACAGTTCCACTTCCAGCTTTTTGCTGACTAATGGGAGATAAGGGTCTCATGGGCTTTCCTGCTCAAGCTGGCTTCAAAACATGATCCTCAGATCTTAACCTCCTGTGTAGCTAGGATTGCAGTCATGAACTACCAGCACAGGCGTCTGATATCTTTTATCCTTATATTTTTGTCTTTAAATCAAAAGTGCTTAGAAATATGTTTTCTGGGTATGCTTCCTTATATAGGCTCTCTCTGCCTCCACATTATACTTTCAGAAACCATGGGGCTGGGAAGGTGGCTCTGTGGTAGAGTTCTTGCCTTGTATGTATGAGGCCCTGGGTTCAATTCCTCAGTACCACATAAGCAGAAAAAAGCTGGAAGTGGCACTGTGGTTCAAGTGGTAGGGAGCTATCCTTGAGCTGAAGAGCTAAGGGATAGCGCCTAGGCCCAGAGTTCAGACCCATGACCCACAAAAATAAATCTATCTACATTTTTTTCTAACAGCCTTTGTATATTTCTTGTTCGAGGTATTCCTATGCATTACAACTTTTGTAGTGGTACTTTTCCATTATACCATACGTTTGATCATGCTTTCCCAGAGCAAGTTTTTGTTGTAATAATATATTGATCCTGAACTTGGCACCTTTATTGTATCTGCAACAATAGTATTTGGCTGACTCTTTAGAATTCCTATTTACAGAAACAATGTCTGCTGCAAAACTTATTTCAAGATGCAGAACACCAGCTTCAAATCCGGTGAAAACAGGGGTTATACCATGGGGGAAGAACATACAAAAAAAGCCCAAAAGAATCACATAGTGCATTATAAGCACATTAAAAACACTAGCAAAAAAGAAAAAAAACCACTTGTGTCCCTGTCTTGGGGTATATTTTGCTTAACATTATCTCATGTGGTCATATGTACATAGCCTTTGACCTTCTCTGCTTGTCTTAGACATATACTGGTCATTGCAAATAAGGGAATCATGGGACCTATGTTTCTTTGGGCCTGGCTTACTTCACTTAATATAATTTTTTCCAAGTCTTTCCATTTCCTAACAAATGGGGCAATGTCATTCTTTCTGAGGGAGACATAGAATTCCATTGTATATTTGAGGAGGGGAAGGGATATAGCGTAACACTTAAATGGGGATGCAGGCTGACCCATTGTGATGACAAGAAATACAGGACACTATGTTGAAAATGAACTTTACAATGTCGGGGAGGGGGGAGGCAGGCAGGAGGAGTTGGGGAGGGAAGGGATGGTAGGGGGAAAACAAAGGAGGAGGTAACAATGCTCGTTACGAAAGATACTCATTACCCTACTCATGTAACTGTAACCCCTCTGTACAACATTTTTACAATAAATATATAGCATAAAAAAACCAAAAAAATCCCCTATGTGCAATGCTGGACAATCTCAGTGTGACTAACTTAATCGTGAATCATTAACTATTTTATAAGGGACAATTCTAAGAATCTACTGTTAACATTTGCTTTAGACTTCTGACAGACAATTCTTCACTCAGTTGAAGAGGTTTTCTTTTCTTCTTTAGCTTGCTAAGATGATCAGAAGTGACGTTCAACTGAATCGAAGTCTTTTTTAACTTCTTACAATGAATTTTAGTGTAGTTCTTTAAATGAAAATCTTTCCCCCTTTAGCCAGGTACAACTTTAATGACCAAATACTGTATTTTGTGAAGGCCATATAACCATGTCAGAGAGACCCTCTGTTGCTATTAGAGTGGTATATGTTAAAAAGTTAAACTGGAAATATTTTTTGGAGCATATCATAACAAATCACATATTTATTGTTAATTTAACATGGATTCCCTCACCTTGAAATCATCAGGAATGAGGAGTTTGGATGTTCGTAGGAAATTCAAGATATATCTGAACATCTGTCCATCTCTGTCAATGAAATAGTGCTGTTTGAGACTGTCCAAAACAATGGGCTCTGTACCATCAAAAAGTCTTCCGATTCTGTGGTGGAAAAGAGGGAAGAGTGAAGACAATTAGATAAATTAACCTTTGGCTGCTATGGCTCCTTGTCACTGACAGAAGTGGCCCTTCTGCAGGTGGCAGTCAGGGAAAATCATCTCTTCAGTTGTCCTGGTTCTCTGGAGTGTACTGGGCCTGGCTTGGTAAATGGCTCAGAACCAGATGATTCCAAATCGTCCCAGGTTTTCTCAAGTACATGCTTTTACTCACTGTCTTTGGTCTGCAAGGAAAACGTGCCTGACACATGATTATCCATGCTGCTCACTGTGATAGAGTTGATAAGCTTCTCTGCTACTTAAAAATGCCATTGCTCCAAAGTGTCCTTTAAACAGACTCTGCTAAAAACACAAGCAATTCTGTTTTCAGGAAATCTGTTTTCTGAGTTCTTCTCACCCCTGAATTACAGCCCTTCTAAAAAGGAAAGTCATGCCTAGACGTTAACACTGGTGTTTCATAATAAAAAATGAATTAATTTAAAATGTCACTCATTGAAGAGACTGGAGTATTCACTACGAATATACAGTCCAGTTTCTTAGGAGACAGACATTCTCCAATTAACCAGAAAAATACTGGAAGTAAGGCTGTGGCTCAAGTAGTACAGCACCAGCTTTGAGCAAATAAGCTAACGGAGAGCACCCAGGCTCTGAGTTCAAGTCCCAGGATTAGTGTCTGTCTGCATATGCGCACGTGCACGCACGCACGCGTGTACACACACACGCACACACATACACACACATGTGCGCGCATGTTCAGAACCATAGTAGGAAGAAGCAGAGTTGGCTAATGATGTCCAACATTTGTCATCGGAAAATAGAATTCATAAACTAGAAATCACTTGGTTTACCCAAAGGCTCAGATTAATTTTCATCAAGAGTGTAGTAAGCAAATAGCTCAATTTTTAAAAATCTGAAATGTGCTTGTTGGTACTATAACAAGTCTGTCTCTGATTTACAACATTTTATTATCTTGAAGATTATTTTGAAATCATATATTTTAAAATCTTAGGTTAAAATAGAACAGGACACCAAAAAACAATAATCCCACCCCTCTTAAAAAAATACAACGAAAGTAAGGAAGTTGCTCCCCTCTCCTCTTCAAAAAATACAAATTTTACCTTGCTCATGTAATTGTAACCCCTCTATATGGTATTTTTACAATAAAAAAACAATAAAAAATACAAATTTTTGTTTCAATAAAAAGCTGTTGGTTTTGCAGTGTCTGGATTTGAATTTGGGGCCTTATGCTTGCTAGGCAGCTGCTCTACTACTTATGCCACACTTCAGTCCTTCATGCCTTACTTCCTTTTAAATAGGATCTTGAGTTATGCTCTTATCTATGTGCTCTATGTATCTGGGATGATGGCCAGGTACCATCCATCATACCCAGCTGTTACTGGTTCAGATGAGGTCTTGTGAATGTTTTAGTTGCCCAGGCTGGCCTTGAACATTGATCTTTCTGATTTCTGCCTCTCAAACAGGTACGATTGTGTGTGCGCCACTGTTGCCTGCTTCAGTAAATAAGTTTTAAAGGTAATTTCAAAATACTGTCCTATCTCAAGGGTAAGCATGTACATGAAGGTAGTCTATGCAAAGAAGAAAGCAATAGTAGGGTTACATTTCTCAACCTCCATAATTGTTTTTTTCTGAGCTACTATTCTGTCCAACTTTCCAAAAGCTGAAAGCAATTATAAGGGTGTGGACTACAATCGTCCTGCCATTCTTTCACTGCATGCTTGTCATTCATTTCTCATTGACACATCAATCAGACAGTAGTTTTGAAACTAAAATAAGCTTAGTCATTCTCTTGTAGTGTTTCCAGGACAGTATGATGCAGGATGGGAAAGAATAGACTTGTCTGCCTCTTACTGAAACATTTTACTCTTCGCTGTTAATAATGTGATATATTTACAGTTGACAGGGGAAGAAAAGGGAGCCACATTAATTAAGTGCTTTCCGGATAACTTCTGCTTTCCCCAGCACTTTATACATGCAAAAAACCCATTATGCTCAGTTTGAAGATGAAGAAATCAGCTCGAACAGATGAGTAACTTGCCCAACAAGTTAAGTAACACTGGGGGATTTGGACTGTCTGATCCTAAAGGGGCCTCCGTACCACTCACGGGAATGAAAAGAATTGCCACAATTTAATGAAAGCTTTTGATTTAGAGTCCGCCTTTCTATGAGAATTTGTTGTGCAATAACTTGACGATGAAATCCAAGCCCTTATACTGAATATTTTAGGGACTTGAACTCAACTATTACTAGTGATTTAAAGTCACTTTAATAAATAGATAAAACAGATGCAAAGTACCTTATCCTTAAATCCTGTGCTTTCTATTCTTAGATAAATGTTCATTTTGAAGCCTAGACTTGGACGTACCTAGGCAAAGAATGGGTCTATACTGGGTGAACCAAAGATTAATGGGTTATACTGAGTGAATAAGTAAAGAAACAATGGTAATGAGACAATGATAATGAAGCCTGGCCAGTACCTAATCTGAATAAAATGACATCTTTGTATCTCCATTCTTCTAGACATTTGTCTCAATTTCTTTTATAAAATAAGCAAAACTGGGGCTGGGAAGTTGGCTCAGTGGTAGAGTGCTTGCCTTGCATGCCTGAGGCCCTGAGTTCGATTCCTCAGCACCACATAAGCAAAAAAGCCGGAAGTGGCGCTGTGGCTCAAGTGGTAGAGCGCTAGCCTTGAGCTGAAGAGCTGAGGGACAGCGCCCAGGCCCAGAGTTCAGGCCCACAACCAGATCCCCCCCAAAAAAAATTAAGCAAAACTTTTCCTCAGTGGTTCATAGTGAGCTCAGAAACGTAACACAAGAAGAGAAGGTATCCCAAACCCACCAACAAAACTTTCTATGAAAGCAGTTTTCCCAGGCTGCAGCCACCAGGCAACAGGATGTAAAGTGGAAAAGGAACTACCCCAGCTGACATATGCTATAAAACAGCAAAGGAGTGTCACTGAAATGGTTTTCAGGTTGCATACGCCAAAAACAAATCTCAAACTGGACTTTTGGCAAATACAAAAAAAAAATGTAGGATGGTTGCAATCAAAGGCATCTTTACTTCCCATTTAGATAAAATGACAATTTTTTTTAAAAGATGTAAAGGAAAGCTCAGGAAGGACAGCTGAACAAGGACTGAGCCCAGGCCCAGCCTGTGGCCCCTTAGGTAGCTTTGGCCTCTGAGCAAGGCAGCAAGGTGAGGGCATGTAATGGATTCTCTCTCCAGGAGGCCTCAGCAAATACCAAAAGATTGAGAAGGACCTAACCCCAGCAGAAGAAGAAACCCAGGGTGGACTAAAGGACACAGAGGAAGACTCATGGCTCCCTTGCTCAGCGAAACCACTAGGAAGGCCAGGCCGCTTTCTGCCAGCTCTTCAGGCAGAGGCTATGGGGCCTGGAACCATTGTCACGACCCCTGACCAGGCTGAATGGAAGTGCCCAGGGAAAAGGAACAAGGACAGACTCAGAAGGAAGGCAGAAGTGCTCATGCAAGACCTGAGGTGGGACCACATGGTAGAAAGTGGTAGGAAAGCAAGGGCTGGGAGAGCAAAGTTGGCAAGGACCTTGGAGAAACTGGTGGAAGGATTGGAAGGGATGCAAGTTCCTCACTGTAGTGAAAAGCCTGTGAGAGAAGAAAAGCTCTCCATGTGCAACAACACATGTTAGAAAGAACAAAAGCACTGTAGTGCCCCGTTCCTGCCAACTGTAAAAGGAGGAACAGTTTGAGTTGTGAAAACAAGGCAGAAGGGGAGGGAACGGTGGTGCCAATAATCGTAAAATGGCGTCCCTGGGTGGTTTTTTCTGAGATTCAGCTGATTGTGCTGTGGACACAAACGTATTGTTTGGCTAAGCAAATAAAGGGGAAAATCAACACCGGCTGTATTTCTTGTGGACATGTGAATGAAGTTACAAATCAAACTGCAGTGATTTGTAAACTCTGGTGCCTGAGAACGAAGTGGAACTGATTACAGTTTACTAACCTCGGAGAACATTCCTGCTTTCCAACTGACCAAGACCAAGCTGCCTCCAGATGATAGATGTCCAGGCTTTCCTTCTTGTTTTTATACTCATTCAACTAAATGGTAGTGCTGAGAAAGACCCACAATTTTTGTTTAAGGATAAGCATTACTATTTTAAGTCTTTTAAACCTTTTATTTACATTTTCTTTTGAACCATTTCAAACTTACATTGACGCAGAAGAAAATATAATGTATCATTATCCAGGTTCAAGTCTACCACTATGCTCACTGTACCCCATAAGGATGTGTGTGTGTGCATACGTGTGTGCATGCACACCAGTCCTAAGGCTTCAACTTAGGGTCAGGTCACTGTCCCTGAGCTTTTTTACTGAAGACTACTGTTCTACCAGTTGAGCCACAGCTCCACTTTAGCTTTTTCTTTTTTCCTCCTCTTCTTCTTTTTCTCCTCTTTCTCCTTCTCCTTCTTCTCCTTCTCCCTCTCTTTCTCCTTTTTTTGGTGGTTAATTGGAGATAAGAGCCTCATGAACTTTCTTGCCTACAATGGTTTAGAAACTATGATTCTCAGATCTCAGCCTCTTGAGTAGCCAGGATTATAGGCATGAGCCATCAGCTCTCAGTTCCTATTAGGATTTTTGAAGTCAATTTCAAGCATCACATAGTTTTATCTGTTATTATCTCATTAACTAGTATGAATATAAAGATAACTAAAATTTGCTTTATTTCTTTATCTGCTATTGAACCATACTTGTTGGTGCTTTTTAATAGTAGCAGTATGTGGATTCTTGTTTGTGGTTAAAAAAAAATAAGAGAGTACTTACCCTGTCTTTCCTGCTATGAATCTCCCTTTCTTTGGGATAATGTGCTATACATTGTACATTTGCAGAATTACCTTAACTGAAAGAGTAAGTACAAGGCTTGATCTGATTTAGTGTGGATTATTCATTTAGAATTTTTCTTGTGCATCTATTTGTAAGACCTGGTTCTTTTCA